ATATATTGTCCTAAATTTTTCTACTTGACATGCAGATTGGTGTAAGGAGAAAAATCTGGCCATCACAAATACTTGGTTTGATATAAACCCCAGAGGACGATATACATGGATTAGTCCAGGTGATAGAGCCAGATACCAAATTGACTTTGGTATAATTAATTAAAGATACCGAAAGGCAATTCAAACATTCTGACCACAATCCAGAGATAATAAAATTCAGGTTGTCCCTCAAAAAAAAAAAATAAAAATAATAATAATTAATGCAAAATTGACACCGATTTTGAACTCAGTACGAAACGAGAAGCCTTTAAACAAGATTTTTTTGAAAATCTACCATATACTTCTAACAAAACCAATAACGGTCGTCTTGGTGTCTTCTTTGAGAATATCCAAGCTGCAGCTGCTAAGGCAATTCCAACAATAGAAAAAAGTAGCCCTCATAGGGCTAGTTCCAAGCAGAGCTCAAAGACTTGCCACAAAAACGGTAAGTTTCAAAATTGAACACCATGCAATATGAACTAGTAAACAATCTTTACAAAAAGAATCTTAAATATAATCCCAAAGAGACATCCTAAAGTTGCATGAAGGTTGCAGACGGCCGTACTCTCCACGAGGATGTCAATATACAAGTAAGAAGTGCATTGGTCTCTACAGCAATGGAAAAGCTGCAGGTCCTGACCGTGGATACATGGAAATGCTCAAGACCTTAGGAGAGAAAGCTACTGCTCTCAACTGGAGCTTCCTAAATGATATCTATGAAACAGGCCAGTTACCTAAAGAAATTATGAAATCAGTATTCCTTGTCCTACCGAAGCTCCCAGAAACACTTGAGTACTCACAATATCGCGCATCTAATGTCACATGATCTTAAATTTTTATTGAAAATCACTTTACAGAGAATCAGCAAACAACTCCTACCCGAAATACCAGAGACCAGCTAGGGTTTATGAAGGAATAAGGTACGAGAAATGCAATCTTCGTCATGAAAATGCTTGCCGAGAGAGCCATGCAACAACAGCAAAACATCTACCTGGTGTTCATTGAGTATCAATGAGCTTTTGATAAGGTCCGGCTCTTAAAACTGCTCAAAATCATGGCAAATATCCGAATAGATGATAAAGATATGAGACTAATTCAGAAACTCTTCGAAGATCAACTTGCAGCAGTCTGCATATCAGCTGGAACAACTAACTAGTTCCCCATCAAGCGAGGTGCTCGACAAGGTTGTGTGGTGTGACCTGACTTTCAATTTGTACTCTGAAGTTATCCTGCGGGAAACTGAAGATCGTCAGGAGGGAATCGTAATCAGTGGTTGTAAGATAAACAATCTTCGTTATGCAGATGATACAGTTCTCATGGCCACATTTATAAATGACCTCCAGAAACTTATCAATACTGGTTTGGAAGCTAGTGAACATCTTGGCCTCCATGTCAATTGCAAGAAAACTAAATTCATGGTGGTTTCAAAGTCAGACATCCCACCAACTTATCCAGTGAAACAAGGAGAAATAAAAATCAACCAGGTCGCCTTCTTCAATTATGTAGATGATCTTGTTACCTTAGATGCTCGCTTCAAGAAGGAAACTAGACGCAGGATGGAGCTAGCAAAAGATGCAGTCTACAAACTCCGGGACATCCTAAAAGACCGCAAGCTCTCGGGGCAAATAAAAATCAGAACTGTTAAAATCTTTGTGCGACTCTCCTAAATGACTGCGAGTCCTGGACAGTGACGGCCGAAACAAGGCACAATATAGTGGCTGCAGAAATGTGGATCTACGCAGGATGATCCTCAGAAAAGTCGGACAGGGACGATTATAACTGATCTACGACAACTAAATTTCCTCGGACTGGCAATCCGGTAAGTCGCATTAGACAATCTTAGACTACGGTGACGCTGAAGGCAAACAAGTTCGAGATGGACCGAGAGAATTATCCCTTGACAATTTCATTTTACAATTATTTCGATGCCTCTGGAACAGAAAACATGGCGCCAAGCAGTTCGTCAAACACCGCTTCGGTGAAGGCAAACAAAAAAGAAACACACGCACGCACAGACACCCACGCACATATATACGTATATATATGATGCATGATATGATATATAAATTTATGTGTGTATGTATTTACACACACACACACACACGCACATATATGTGAGTGTGTGCGTTTGTGTGTGTGTGTTTGTGTGTGTGTGTGTGTGTGTGTGTGTGTGCGCGCGCGCGCGTTCGTGCGTGCGTGCGTGTATATGTGTGAGTGTATTACTCATGCGTCTGGCAGTACATCGGCAGTGTTGCCCACACGTGCTCCCACCCTAGGAATGCCCGGCTTAGGGGATTTAATGCCGAATTTATATCGCGGCGCGGAAGGGTTGAGTATCTTTGATGGCTTGATGATGATAGCTCTACAATCAGCTCCGATCGCTTAAATATCGCACACTTGTGCAAAGCATCAGTACGACTGCACCTCCGCGGTCGTCGATGAATCACAAGACCCAGACAGA